CATACATGTTTCCGTCTCCTGTGTTTAATATGGGGTCCAAGATCTCATTTGTTTTTTTTCCCGCTTGTTTCAAGAGACCACCATATCCCACATGTTAAGTTTATTAACCAACCAACCAATCAATAAACCAACAAAACAATCAACCAACCAACCAATCAATCATTCATTGTATGCATGTTTCCGTCTTATGTGTTTAATACGGGGTCCAAGATCTCCTTTGTTTCTTTTTCGCTTGTTTCAAGAAACCCTATCCCACGTGTTTAATTAATCAATCAATCAATCAATCAATCAACCAACTAACCAATAAATAAATAAACCAACCAACCAACCAACCAACCAACCAACCAACCAAGCAATTATTCATTCATTCATTCATTCATTCATTCATTGTGTGCATGTTTCCGTCTCATGTGTTTAATACGGGGTCCAATATTTCCTTTGTTTCTTTTTTCGCTTGTTTCAAGAGACCCTATCCCACGTGTTTAATCAACCAACCAACCAATCAACAAATCAAGCAAACAACCAACCAACCAAACAATTAATTAATCAATCAATCAATCAATAAACCAACCAACCAACCAACCAACCAACCAATCAATCATTCATTCATTCATTCATTCATTCATTCATTGTATGCATGTTTTCGTCTCATGTGTGTAATATTGTATTTACATCTCTTCTGAAAAAAAAAAATCCACATGCTTGTTATCAGATGTTCTGGGAAACTACATGTCCAATTGACCCATAAAATTTGCAGTCAGCAGGTTATACATGCATTACATCTTCATAAAACAACGTGGTGCAGATATCTATCAAGAATTTTCCTAGAGAAAAGAAATTGCAATGCCGTAAAAATCGCTTGCTAGTTCCGTAAATCTCAGTGAAATCCTACAATAAAATGTCCGCTCCTAGATTGAAATACAAATCTGTGTTACAAACTGCTGCTGAAAAATGTACATTGTATGAAAATAATCGATAAACGTGTTTTAAAGTTACACAGGATCAATTAAATCCAAAGCATGCACTGCTCGTGAACTGTGATCGAAATGTCAATTACCTACAATGACAAAAGAAATACATTGTGTGTATTCCGTCGCTATACATGTTGTCTGTCCAACGTCCCCACCTAAAAAGAAATAAAAATACTAAGTTTTCGCTAATATAAAGCCTCGTCACGTGACGCCACAATCTGGCGCGAGACAAAGACGCGCGCGGGACCTAAAATAGAATAAAAACTTTCCAAACTAAATATAGAAACTTAACCAAAACACTAATATGGACCTTGCAAAGAAAGAAAGAAACAAACAAACACACAAACAAACATACACATATATCAATCAATCAATCATGTTTTAGAAGGGGAAAGACCGTTTACAATTGCTTTTTTAAGCAATTGATTTATATTTATTTATATTATGTTTAGCAGTCCCCGACAATTTCCATTGATTATGATCCATGCCATATGAGAATACATTTTTATATGTTGAAGATAAGAATGATATACCAAGTCTTAAACCAGTCAAACGAGTGTACATGTTATTACCAGTTATTTAGTTGAAATGAATTATTTTATTTCTTACTACTTGTGTCGCCGTTCTAGATATCGGCGCACTCCTACATAGTAGGATGGCTAGTGCGCTACATACAGATATACACCTACACCCATTGATATTTCATATCCACTTAAAACATGCCATTAAAATTATTATTTTATTTTTTTTGAATTTTAAGATAAGTAAAATAAGCGTAATAATTTGTTTTTACTAGTTGTAAAATCCGATTTCGTAACGAAATAAAAATTCAAAACAAAACTAGGCTGGAAACAAACTTTTTTTTTAAAAGGGTGAAAATGTAGGTCCATAGATCAAAATAGTAAAATTGGGGCGAATTACAGCTGACATTGTAAGGACACCTGTCTATTGTAGAAAACTGTTCAATGACATTTAGATGTCTTAGTTGTTTTACGTTGTTGGGTTGCTATATCTCATTGACATATACTCCCCCTTTCATTTTCGGATTCCTTTATCTCTCTTATCGAGGAACTATAAAAAAAAGAAGATGTGGTATGATTGCCCATGAGACAACTGTCCACAAGAAACCAAATGACACAGAAATTAACAACTATAGGTCACCGTACGGCCTTCAACAATGAGCAAAGCCAATACCGCACAGTCAGCTATAAAAGGCCCCGAAATGACAATGTAAAACAATTCAAATGAGAAAACTAACGGCCTAATTTATGTACAAAAATGAACGAATAACAAATATGTAACACATTAACAAACGACAACCACTGAATTTCAGGCTCCTGACTTGGGACAGGCACATACATACAGAATGTGGCGGGGTTAAACTTGTTAGCGGGATCCCAACCCTCCCCCTAACCTGGGACAGTGGTGTAACAGTACAACATAAGAACGAACTATAAAAATCAGTTGAAAGAGGCTTAACTCATCAGATGGATAAAAATATAAATACTACAAATACAAGTGGACGTGGCCGGGTACTTGTACATCCAAACAACAAAAAGACACTAAGTACATATCTGAGAGTACTCGCAGTTACTGACAGCTTATTTCACTGATTTTGCTATTTTTTATCCAGTTGATCATGATTTGGTTCAGTGTTTTTGAATGACATGTATATTTTTCTTAAAAGAAGTTGTGGAGATAAATTTCGCCTTGTAAATAGCTTTGCTTATAGCTATTAAGTTTTTTAAAGAAGTAAATATATTACAATAAAGGTTATAATGAGAAGCATAAAACACATGTGTACGACAATTTTTAAAGTTGTGTAATTGTTTTTCACACATTAAAATTGTCCGTTTTCTGCGAGTAATATCACATTATTTGTTATAATTTTCAACTGCCTATTAAATATTCTGAAGAAAAAAAAACCGCCTTTTTTGCAAATAATTTAATATTCATGAAAATTTAATGTTATGGTTTGGTAAAGTAATGTCATGGTTTGGTAATTCATACTTGTATATCATACAAGTGATATAGATGAACAAATGAACAAACATGATACACTTATTTAAATAATTTAAGGATGTTCGCTCCTCTGTTTCAAAATAACAAGCTTTTTAAAAGACTGTTATAAATTGACAGTATATAAATAATGGAACTTGAAAAGTAGGAAAAAATGACAGGGTCGTGTCCTTGTTTTTGAGCGACAATCAACTGATATTTTGGCGGGAAATGATTGCCTCTAGATTTTTCATGCATTTAACATGAGCACAATTTTTTCTTTCAAAAACTATGATAAAAATAAGGATTGAATAAAATTTTGAAAGATGACTTTTTAAACTAAATGTAATAAAATTATGAAAAAAAAGTATGGGTTAGAAGGCAACATTTTTATTGGCACTCAATGGATATACTAGAGGATTCCGAATACCTGACAAAAAAGACAAAACCAAGAGTAGCGAACATCCTTACCTCTATAGTGATATTAAAACTACATGTTTAAAACGACGACAAGAATAACAGATTCAATAAATAAATATAGGCCAGCTGAGGACCACCTCCGGGTGCGGGATTTTCTCGCTGCGTTGAAGATCCATTGGTGGCCTTCGGCTGTTGTCTGCTCTTTGGTCGGGTTGTTGTCTCTTTGGCATATTCCCCATTTCCATTCTCAATTTTATTCACTTACAAAATGCCAAAGTCTAAAAAATGAAATTACATATGTTAATATTACTGTCATTATTATGAGCTGAGAATGTAGATTTGTTTTCAATTCTAGGACACCATAATCGCTTAAACATGGAAACCAATTTTATTGGTTAAACAAAAACAAACAAAAACTATACCAAAAGTGCCAATATAAAAAAAGAAGATGTGGTATGATTGCCAATGATGTAACTATTCATTAGATACAAAATGACGTAGATGTACGTAACTTAAGGTCACAGTTTCACCTTTAACAATGATCAAAATCAATGCCATATTGCAACTATAAAAGGTCCCAGACCCACCATGAACAAAAGTGACACAATTCAATCGAGTGTATATCATGATCTTTTAAAACATAACGAAAGCCACTGTCAATTTTAAAACATTGAATTGAACAAAATCCAAATATTATACAATGACCTTATCTAACGTAACAGCGAACTGTTTTGATCAAAAACATGCCATGCGAACACAGAATATTTTTATGGTCCTTTTTGAGTGATTTGTCAACGTTTTACATAGTAAATTCCATTTCTCTCATGAAATAGGGTCTGATTTTCTTCAAACAGACACTTAGCTTTCCCGAGTAACTTCAGTTATCCGATAAAGATAAAAGTAACCAGATGTGAAAAAGGATCAATCCCGATAAAAAAAAGGGGGGGGCAATCGAGCCAGAAAGTATGTGTCAGCGGAGTAAAAAAAGTCAACACTGAGGTTGTGAGTTCAAATCCCGCATGTGGCAGGTGCGCTCGACTCCAATCTTCATTGACTAAGATTGTCAGTTTTCCCACCGAAGGTCTGTGGTTCTCTCCAGGCAATTCAGCTTCCTCCCCTAACAAAAACTGACCACCACGAAATAAAACAACAGTTCTGAATGTGGCGTTAAACACCAATCAAAGTGAAATTTCCAAAGTTTGATTTAAAAAAAATGTTAAAGAGTTTAAATAAATAGCTTGACCTGACGTAAACAAAAATATAACAAAACAATATTCAATATCAATTGTGCCGGTGGTATTTTTATCCAATTGATGAACGTAAAAAAGTGAATCATAGTCATTCCACGACCTAGGAATAAATCACCTTAGCTGTATTTGACAAAACGTTTTGGACACTTGGGTCCCCAATGCCCTTCACCTTCTTACTTTATTTGACCTTTTTAACTTTTTTTATTCGAGTGCCACTGATGAGTCTTTTGTAGACGAAACGAGTGTCTGACGTACACAAACTAGTCCTGGTATCTATGATGAGTTTCCTGTTCAAATGTTTGCTTCGCCGTTGATCCTTTTTTTTCGTTGTGTGTTTGAAGAAGACATAAGGACGTTAACATTGAGTTGTGCATTTTTATTTCTTTACGTTTTTTAATTTATAATCTTATTGTGCAAGCCTCAACCGCAATAACAAGCAAAAAATATTTAAAAAAGGAGTGAAATATGCCATGATACAACAATCGTTATACTAAAAACATGAACAACATTTCGCTCAAATTGTTCACCAAAGACAAAAACAATATTTATTAATATGAAATTTCTCTATGCAATGGCCTCTAATTACAGTCAGACGTCGCTGTCATCTTCTACTCGAATTATTTGATGATCGATATGATCGTCATTGTCCGACGATACGTATTGTCGCCGTTTTACCTCTTCTTTATCTGACGGATACACCTGATTTTTTCTCAAGATACTTGGAGTAGTTTGCGTGGCCGTTTTATCCTCATCAGGAAAATTATTATCTTTGGCCTCTTTTTTATTGCGTTCCTTTATTATTAACTGATCAACAATACCCCCAAATGTTTTCCCGCGATGTTTCCACTTCATGGCATATCGCTCCGCGATCTTGCTACTACGTTTCTGGAAAACCGAACCTTCAAGTTTTTCAAGGCTTCTCATTTTATCGACATCGATTTTCATTTTTTGCATATTTTCCTGAACAATTTCTGACAATTGTCTAAATTTCGTTCCTTTTTCTTTTACGATCGACCTATTCATATCTAATACGGTTCTATCCTTGTCGGATATTACCGTAGTTTTTCTAGACCGATGGGTTTCAGCAGATACGAGACGTGAAGCTATTTTTTCGTCTATTTTTGTCGTTTCTGTTTTTTCACTTTCCCAAATATCGGTATTGGCTGCAATATGTACCAGGGTTGAAAACCTATGGTAAAGCATACAGATAAACTGGATTGAAAGAAGAATTCCGAATACAACAGCAAATAGAATGGCGATAGGAACTATTTTATTATCGTCTCGTCCGCCACAAACGAATGTAATTGTCAAATCATTTTCAAAAACATTTACCTGGGTTAAGGAATACATCACAGTAACTAAAACGCCATTTAATAGATACACAAATAACGATACTCTATTGCGCAAGTCAACAAGATCATCTTGAATTTTCTTTTCTTTTGTCGGACTCATGTTTAGGGGTTTTAAATGTTTCCTGATAGTTTTTTTCCAAAATTTGATCTCGTTTTTGGGAATTGCTTTTACATGTCTATCAGCAATCAGATTGTATTCCTCGTCATTCTCTGTCTTGAATATCCTATCGTCCCACGAATTCTTATCTTGAATTCCACTTCTATCTTCGTTTTCCACTGGGTCTGATTTTTCATCTGTATTCTTTGTGTGACCTTTTCCGTCAACTAGTACAAGAAAATATCAGATATAGTAGAGCATTAATTTTTCGGACTTATATATCAAGTCTGACTTATAACAAAAACACAATAGGGGACACATGGTTGTAAATTTTGCCAATTACGAATTGGGCATTTTACCACAGGTTGTGTCTCTCTCTAGATCTTAAAAAACAATATTTTCAAATCATGCAGTTTACGTGCTTCGAAGCCGCTCATGATCTTGGTTGCAAAATTGCATGAAAATTGCTAGGCATTATATAAACAACAATATCTATACAAAAATAAGGAGATGTAGTATGATTGTCATTGAAACAACTTTCCACCAATGTCCATTGGCTGTGGATGTAAGCAACGTTAGGACAATGTACTGCGTTTGATAATGAGTAAAACCCACACCGTATAGTAAGTTATAAAAGGTCTAGGCATACAAAATATATGAAACAATTGAAAAGAGAAAATCACTAGCCTGATTTATTATTAAAATAATATACAATGATAGCTCGTGAAAAAAGTGAATAGTAGTATCAGGAAAAAAACATTTTAGGGTTGACATCTTTTTTATAATCACCGCTTATTATGGGGCCACATTTATTATACCGAACTAAAAGAAGAAGGACCTTTCGAAACATTAAAGATACATGTTAAAGAAGCACACGTTTTGCTGTATACGTAGTAATGGATTGTCAAAACACTTACGGCATTGACTTACATCAGTGAATTATTTTGTAACTTAGAATTTCTAGTATCATTATGTACAAACAATGTTTATTTACCGTAGACTGTTTCTGTAAAAGATTGATGACCCTGATATGGATCGTTTGTGAGGGCTATCCTCGTCACTCGATGGATTTTTAACCTGACCGCTGCCGTTTTGTATGCATACGTATGTGACGTCATTTTTTGGCGCTAACTCGTGTACAAATTAAATATGTTAACTTTCACCGTTGAAAAACCGGCAGAACTATAATTGATCGGTCGGTGTAAATTTTTAGGGTTATTCGTCCTTCCTTGCATTTAAACAAAAATTACCCGAATCATTCCATGTCACGTGATAATGTATTATCCAATAGAATTGTTTTAGTATATAGGTTGCCGTCTCATTGACATAATCCATACATCTCTATTTTGTTCATTTTGCAATAGAGGCATTATGACAATTAAAGGTAAATGATTCCACCCTAATGTACATGTGTTATACATGTATTAACATCAATTCATTTCAACATTTGGCATTTGTCTACAGTTTAGTACAAATCTTTGTACAAGTTTAATTTATCCATATTACTAGAATTTGATCTATACCTACCGTTAATTGTTCCATCATTTTCTTCATCTCCCTTTTCACCTTTAACTATTCTGTCCACTTTATTTATCATGTTCGTATAAAGTAAATCTTCCTTTGTGTAGGTATTTGTTGGACAAAATATACAACTGCAATATCAAGCAAATATTTAGATATTAAGATGACACATCAAGATATTGTTCTAATAACATGTTAACAATTACCTTAACAACAATTAAACTCTTAATCCGCCAACGTCCCACTGGTGCTATTTCGATTTAACTAGAAATCAGTTTAAATAGCCCTTGAAATAATATGCCGATAAAAGGTTAGAGATGCATCCTGCGATGAATTATGACCAGTGCCCAAGTTCCAATATTTCAGGGGATGACATGAAAGGCGGGTGATTTTAAAGGTGAATGTTATGAAAAGCGGGTGATATTAAAGGTTGAATATATGAAATAACATAAATGGTACATATTTTTATGCACCAGATGCGCATTTCAACAATGAATGTCTCTTCAGTGATGCTCGGGGTCAAAATATTTGAAAATCCAAAACTTATTAAAAAGATGAAGAGCTTATAAACCAAAAACGGACAAAACGTATATATGCCAAGCCTAACATACTGCAAACAATGCGAAACGTACCCGAAGAAATCTCCCAGAGAACAGAAGTAGCCCTTTTCTTCATTTTCTGGTTTATGTTTTTGAGTTGATTTCTTGACCTCTGTATCTGGTGTTGCTTCTCTTGTTCCCCAGGATACAACGTGAAGATTACCAATTGAATACAGGAACATTAGCATTGACATTGATGGGATTGCCAAAAAATATAACAAACCTGGTATGATGCATAGTATTTCCTGTAATGGAGAATATCTGGTATATTTCAAATTTATTTTAAAACTTATTATCATCTGCATAATGCCTTATAGAGCTTTCACACAATAGTATGGAAACTTGATTATAAGGTGGAAAGAAAAGCTAAATGCATTAATTATTGTCCTGTGAAAATTAAACGTGCTGTTCATTTAACTTGAAATATTGCCTTTCGATTGCATTGTCATGAATTTTTTGTATATTATCATTGCAAGAAATAGTCATTGACTTTCGTAAGTTAATTCGTTCAGCTAATTTTATCCTTGCAGACAATGCGTTCGTTATGTCGTTAGTTCAGAAATTAGATAGTATAGAAGTTAAAAGCGGCATTAACTTTTAAGTCCTAACCAATAAATAAATGAGTGTACCATTCCAACTATTTATTATTTACTTGTAAAATGGTTTACATACAAAAAAATACAGCTTTCTTTTCTCATGACATCGTATACACCTAACTGTAAATGTTAACACATTCAAGTAAAATTTACAACTATAAAAAATATCTACACAGTCATTTAACATACCTTTGGATGAATTACAGCCGAAATAATAAAAATACCTCCTACTGCTATGGTGAAAAAGGTGGCCGTGGAACAGAATCCCTCCACGATAGTAGTTCGTAAAACGCCAATCAACACAATTACCATAACAATCACGTATATGACTGATAAAACAGCGGCATATTGAATCTGAAAGAATGTAATTTGTAAAAATTTCGGATCCTCCATGCTCTTTAACTTCGTACTTTGGCCATTTAAACTTTTTTTATTCTAGGTCACTGATGAGTCTTTTGTAGACGAAACGCGGATCTGACGGACAAAATTTTAATCCTGGTATCTGCGATATCATAAGTTTATAGTTATCATTGTAATGTATTCGCTTACCTTGAACTAATTTATTTCACAAGAAATGTTGAAAGATCGAAATATCAACATTTCGCAAAACTGTGTCAGAAAAAAGCTGCAAATGTGCAAATTTAAAAGCTTTAGTCGTAGCCAAGGACACGTCAATTTAATTCCTTGTTCGAAGGACCCGCCCGCACATACTTTTTTCTAAACGGAAAAAAATATATTTTAAAATTTTCCCGCTTCCAGCATCCGGAAAAATGATCGTGTTTATTTCCCGCGCAAATTTTTTTGTAAAAATTAAAAAAACAACGATCGCCAGAGCGTTTTACATTGTTTTAGTCAACGTCAAATCGAGACCCTTTAATTAAGCTGTTTCGAGCATTAACACAGATTTCTTATCAAAGTCAAGGACGATTCTTCCGAAAATTTTAAATCTGTCAAATTGTGATTTGTGTTGATAGAAGGGAAACATGATTCTAAAGTAGTTGTTTGGGAAAAAACTATTCAAGTAAGGTATTCATTGTTTAATTGAGGTATTCACAGGAACCTGTTGTTCATGATCAGTGGTTGTCGTATGTTGATGTGGTTCATAAGTGTTTCTCATTTCTCGTTTTTTATATAGATTAGACCGTTGGTTTTCCTGTTTGAATTGTTTAATACTAGTCATTTTGGGCCTTTTATAGCTTGCTGTTCGGTGTAAGCCAAGGCTCCGTGTTTGTTGAAGGCCGTACTTTGACATATAATAGTTAACTTTAAATACATTGTGACTTTGGATGGAGAGTTGTCTCATTGGCACTCATACCACATCTTATTTATATACAAAGTGCCAAAAAGACAAAGAACTAAAATGAGAACACCAAAACGACGGAGACACAGACAACCAACATATAACACAAAAAACTAAAAAGTACACACATCAACGAACAGCACGAACCCCTTAAGACTGGGGGTGAACTCAGGTGTTCCGGAAGGATGAGCAGTTCCTACTTCTTGCAAGACATCCACCGTGTTGCTAGTTATAAGTCATGTCCGGTGAAGGAGGAAAGACATCTATGACTATTGGAGATCATTTAAGGCAGTTGAAATAATAATTCAATTATTCAGTTCAAGATCTGATGTCCTCAGAAAGTAACAGTATAAATACAAAAAGTCATAAATATGCTGCAATTAAAAGTGGGTATTACATGTCTTGGTGAACAGGGAAAAAAAAACACTTCAGCAGTTGAAAAATTAAAGAAATGTCAAAGTACAAGTGGTAAATGTTGTTTTGATCAATATTGTCAGAACCTATGATTTTATATTTATGAAAAAAAATGTATAATCGCTTGCTGTTACTTTTCAAGCTTCGCCTCAAAAATTTTAAAATTATTTTTTTTTTTATTAAAATTTTCAAATCGCTCGCTCGACCCAATTTCTGGAGTGGAAAAATCCGTAAACAAGAAATTAAATTGGTGTGGCCTAATACTCATCTGGTTTATTTGAAGATCCCCGATGTAATTTATGCATGTAGCTATATTTCACATAATTCATTACTACCAAACACATAGCCAAACTCTCGAAAACGATATTTACCATCATATAAAAATCCGTGTAGAACATCAAAAATATGTGTCCCTAGGACATATCATATTTACGTGTTCGGTAAACCGATAAGTTTTACTCAAAACCTTGATTTTACATAATAATTAAACACTTAATAAAGTACATTCAGTTTCAAGTTGATGTGACCACAAACAACCTTAAAGCAATACTTTAACCTACCACATTTCCATGTTCATTAAAGCTTGAAATATGGGTCAAAGGCTTTACATTACAAAAAATACAATACAATACAATACAGTAACAATACAATACAAAAACGAACGTGTACTGGAATGGTTAGATCCATGTAATTATAGTATTAGTCTAGTCAATTTAGTGAACAACCTGCAACTAATTGCAACACAAAGTTTTTTTTCTCTGAAAAACAAGTCTGTTACTATCTATGAACAACATACTAAAACTATACAAAAATATATTTTGCGGAAAGTGGTGTAATTTATAAAAATGTTTTGTAGTTAAAGTAAGGTTATATGAGTTGCTTCCCCTTATCTGCCAAAGTTGAAAAAAATTATACATAAAATGTTCTGTATTTTTTAAAACAGTTGAAATAATACAATACAATACATGATTATTTCAATTTAAAAGAATAATATTACAAATGAATCACTTTCCTGTCTCAAAATTTGTATATTTGAATAAAGATATAGACCGAGATTATGTTCTGCTATTTTACATTCCAAGAATCTAATTCTCCAAAATAGCTTTGGTAAGTAACCTATAAATAGAAAACTGTACTGAATTAGAGTAACCAACTTAGTCACATTCTTACTTGGTATTTGAAGAAATTCTGCTCCTGTGTTAAAGGCACAGACAGTTTTTTTTTGGGGGGGGGGGGGGGGGGGGAGGGGTTCCAGAAACACATGTTGTGTTCTTTATAAAAAAAAATGTTATTGCAAGATTCAAAGTCTTTAAGGTATTTTTCTCCACAACTTTAGAAAGAAAACAATATATTTTTTTTTCATTTACCTTCTGGAACAAACATGTTAAGATTTAGAATCCAACAATGTTTCATAAAAAAATAAGAATGATGAGTGTTAAATGATTTTATGTTAAATATGTTTTCACAAATGAAAATTTCAGGCTCCTCGAAGCAAATAGCTACTCATGTAATTTGCGACGATCTCAGTAAGTACTCACACACCATATAAATAAAGCTTTGACTGTAACACTGAATCCACTTATCACTTTGGTTACTAATCGGATGTGTACTTATTTATATTTTAGTCTGTGCCAACAGTTTTTATTCATCAGCTGTAATTACTAAGCTTTGAACTAGCTATGAGAACTCAGTGTCTTTTTGTTAATTGGTTATATACTCCGTGCTGATCTTTTTGAGTTGAGCCCTTTCCAACTGGGTTTTACAATTTGTTCTTACGTTGTTTGCTATTTAAATAAAATTGAGAATGGAAATGGGGAATACTGTATGTCAAAGAGACAACAACCCGACCAGATCAAGAGCAGATAACAGCCGAAGGCCAGCAATGGGTCTTCAACGCAACGAGAAAATCCCGCACCAGGAGGTGGTCCTCAGCCGGCCCCTAAATAAAAACTGTTCCTGATTATTGGAGGGTTGAGTGCTCGCAAACAGGGTTAACCCTGCACACTATGAATATGATTATCACAAGTCTGTGGCCCTTTATTGCTCGGTTGTTATTGTTTGGTGTCTGTCATATTTGTTTTTCCGTTTATTGTTTTAACACTAATCAGGCCTTTGAGTTTCTCGTTTGACTTGTTTTATATTTTGACGATGAACTATAGTTGTTTACATCCACACCCACATCATTGATATCTCTTGTTGAAAGTTTTCTCATTGGCAATCATACAACATCTTCTTATGTTTTTAAAGTGGGGAGATTTTATAATAAGTGATGGTTTCATTGGCAAGCGATCAAACTTACTACCAAGAGATACTGATAAGAGTTTAGTGGACCTTAAAAGCTAAACATTTATATTCTTTTGGCATGAGGTGTATTTTTTTAAATATTTTTATAGTTTCGTTCAAAAAAAGAGGGACGAAAGATACCAGAGGGACAGTCAAACTCATAGATCGAAAACAAACTGACAACGCTATGGCCAAAAATAAAAAGACAAACAGACAAATAATAGTACAAATGACACAACATAGAAAACTAAAGACTAAGCAACACTAACCCCACCAAAAACTGGGGGTGATCTCAGGTGCTCCGGAAGGGTAAGCAGATCCTGCTCCACATGTGGCACCCGTCGTGTTGCTTATGTTATTACAAATCCGGTAAATAGTCTTAATTCGGTAAGTCACATTCGTGAAAATGGAAGGGTATTGTAGTTACGACATAAGGAACATATCCGATATCATCTGTGAAACGGTTATTCCATAACGGTCAACCAACTCGTGATGGCGTCCGTAAATTTTACGAAGGGATGATTTCAACTTCAGCATTCAAATGAGTTGAATACAGGTCAGCATTCCGGAAGCAGAAAACAGCGTCTTTATCATTAATATGACTGTAATAGAGTATATTTATGAATAAAGAGAGATTTGAGGTTTCTAAAGTCAACGAGAAAGCAACCCAAACGACTAACAAAAACCAACAGACATACTTTCAGATTAGACATGACTATCTAAACGCTATCTCTGGCCATCATCAAAGTCGCCCACAGACACTACAAATTTTAATTCATACACAGATGATGCATGATCATTTTTTTACAGTTCTTGGGCTAAAGTTGATTACCTTTTATTAAATTAATTCAATGAGATATATTAAATAAAGAACTTGGTAATGCTTTTCTTTATATACTAGTAAGTATATATATATATATCTTTGACCATATTATTTTCATATAGCAGACAAACCATGTTAGTTCTTTGTCATTACCATTTGGTTGATGTTTCAGACCACCACATACATGCAGGTTTATAGGGTACACACATAAGGTGCTGTTGCTATTAACACTCCCTCCAGGAAGTGATCCCATTAATTCATTCAACAGTGCTTATCTCATTTTCAACATCCAAAATTGGACCACTTGAGTACAATTACTATTTAAATTCAAGCTCTTGAGGTAAACCTATAATCGTATTGACAAAGCTGCTCTTGAAATTGCCTTAAACAATATCAGATCTACATTTAATTTTCGATCTATGAGTTTGACTGTCCCTCTGGTATCTTTTGCCCCTCTTTTAATGCTAATTCAGTGAACTAGTATATGTTCCTAAATTAAAAAAGCTTATATGTCTGAAATTAAACGTGGATATTGATAGAGCTTGCTAAATAAAATAAGCAACACATTAAGAGAAATCTGCAATCACATCGTCTGTGTTTAACTGTGACTTTATGCAATTCAAATATTGTAAAAGTAGCTACTAAAAAAATACACAAAAAGGACTACAGTCAATGACAATGCAAGGACACTAGAAAAATGACTTTTCCAGTAATTAACATGACAAAATCAAAGTCTGATTTACAGTTATTTTTGAACACAATCATTTTTTTTTTTATTATACCTACACGTATAATTACTATAAATACATAACCGAAACATACGATAAAATTTCAAACTTCCACAAAATGGACATATTCAAAACTGAGTTTTACTGTGTGTTTGTTTATTCTATATTGTCGAGAGAAACTATGGGAGGGTTGAGTTCTCACACAACATGTTTTACCCCTGCCACATTATTGCACCTATCCCAAGTCAGGAACCTCTAGCCTTTGTTTGTCTTGTGTGTGATTTTTTGTGATAATTTTGGTTCATTTGTATGTACTGGAGTTTAGGGTGGTGTCCATTTTGCTGAACTAGTGTACAAAATAATTAAGGGGTCAGCTGAAGCCCACCTCCGTGTGCCGGATTTACTTGCTATGTTAAAGACCCATTAATGGCCTTGTTTTTCTCTTTGACACATTCCCTGTTTCCATTCTCTCTTTTTTTCGTTTTTAAAAATCAAACTAGAAATAACCAAGATTTTAAAATTTTCATCTTATATGCCCCTCACTTAGGGGCATTATGTTTTTCTGTCCGTGGATCTGTTCGTTCGTCCGTCTGTCGATCTGCTTCAGATTAAAGTTTTTTGTTAAAACTTTTGGTCAAGGTATTTTTTTATGAAGTTGAAGTCCAATCATATTGAAACTTAGTACAAAATTTAATGTTCCCTATGATAAGATCTTTCTAATTTTAATGCCAATTAAGTTAGAGTTTTGACCCAATTTCACAGTCCACTGAACATAGAAAATGATAGTGCGGGTGGGGCATCCGTGTACTATGGATATATTCTTGTTTTGTAGTTAGTGTGTAAAACAAAATATTTCACACAACAATTTGATTATTATTGATATCGATAACAAGAGGAACACATATGCGATAAACATAAGATAATAAAGTCTGTCTATAAAGATCCTATGTTAAAAGTTTTAACCATGAATAATCGAGTTTTTTATTTCCATTTTTCACAATTTTTTCTCTACAAGTCACATTTTACACAAGAATTACAATTTTTTAAATAAGATAAACATCATATAGTATTCTCTATTTTCTGTAAAGATCCCAATTTGAAAGTTTTAACCATCAATAACCGAGATATTTTCATTTCCAGTTTTCCGGGTTTTCGGTCTTAAAACATATATTCATCCAAAATTACCCAAATATTAATATTGATAACTAAAGGACTTCACAAATAAAACATAAAATAGTATGTTCTTTTTTCAATATAGATCAAATTCAAAAATATTAACCATTAACAACGGAGATTTTCTACGTTTCCAGTTTTCAGCGTTTTTTCACTAAAAATCACTCATTTCACCTCAAAACTACTTCAATATAATTATTAATAACTAGAGGACTACATAATACTCTATTAAGATAAGGTTTCCTGTCTTCAACAATCTTTAGGTCTAAAAATGTTACCATAAATAACAATTTTTCTTCTTTTCCAGTTTTCAGTATTTTTTCTCTAAAAACCACATATTTCACCCCAAAATAACCTTTTCCGCAGATTATATCAATGTATAGTTTTAGTATGTTGTTAGTACAAGTCTATATTATAATTTGCACTAAAAAAACCTTGTGTTGCAATTAGTTGCAGATTGAGCGATTTTAGAGCTAAATTGACGGCTATATATGTACAAACCTGTCGTTGCTGCGAGGCATACAATGTCATGATCAGAAATATTCCAACTGGGATGAGATTCAGTACCAAAGATAGCCATGGTGGAATTGATTCAAAACCAAGAATAATCGCACCAAATACCAGCATAAATATGGTACCTGGTGTCAACAGAACGGAAGCAAACAGAATTGAATGGTAGACAATATACAGAAAAGATATATTCTCGTTGTTATTTGTAATTTGTTTCCAGTCCATTATTACATCCAGAACGTTAATCATAGTCGAAGGCACCCATCGTCGACGCTGATTATAAAACTCATGAAATCCTTCCGGTGCATATGTGTACGCATCTGATTCTGCGCAGTATTCAATTTTCCATCCCTGTTTTAGAAGCAATGTACATAACCATCGATCCTCCCCTATGATTTTAAAGAGCAAATTCAAATCAATTGTTGTTAAGAGTACATTAAATCTAGAATTATATTGTATTTTTCTTTTGTCATATGAAAAATGAGTGTCACTTTTTCTGATGTAGTCAATTACAATAATACCGCATAAATCATAACTATTGTGCTACATTTAAAGGCAGTTGGCTTTAAGTGAAAACCAACTCCATATAAAAGCCAAAAGACATATACAGGTCAATTTACTGTATTCATTAAGATACAAGACTGTCTTTACAACATGTAACCCTACGATGATTTGGGGAAAGCAATATAGTCCCCTTGGTTTTATTCCGACCGACAGTAAAACCCTTGCCAGAGTGGTTGTGCAGGATGTATAAAATACACAATCACAACCGGTCGGAATGTGGATGTAATCTCCGATACCTAGTGTGGTCGGAATGGGGATGTACATGTAATCTCCGATACCTTGTGTGGTCGAAATGTGGATGTAATCTCAGATACCTAGTGTGGTCGGAATGTGGATGTAATCTCCGATACCTAGTGTGGTCGGAATGGGTATGTAATGTCTGATACCTAGTGTGGACGGAATGTGGATGTAATCTCCGATACCTAGTGTGGTCGGAATGGGGATGTAATGTCCGATACCTAGTGTAAAGAGAGTATCACACTTTTTACACGTCGAAGAATCCTTGCAACAACTAAATGAGGGGTCCGTTGGTTGAATGTTGTCTAGGCACAATTTCTGTCACAATTCAACATATTATTATTTTTCAGTGGCAGTCTAAATTTCATCTCAAGCCAAACCCTACCTTGCAGTACCTACCTATTATATTTCTTGTTAATATATTTTCGTCCTTAGCATGCCTTAAATATTTGCCACTGGAAGTGAGCAATACATTAACAACCAACCTTTATTGTAAACACCAAATTTGCATAGGGTCAAACTCAATAAGATTAAACAAAAGACATCCACTGAAGATGTATTGACAAATTTTCCAAATTTAATTAAAAGTGATAAATCGTCATTTCTGAATAATGTCACCATACAAATTTAATAAATGACACAATGGCAGAAACAGAACAATTGTACAAAATTTAATATAAAACAATTTATCGTTTGAAAATGATTCTTTATTTTTTTCAGTGACGTAAATTTACCAGTCAGGAATAAAAAAGCATTATTCTTTGTCTACATAAACATTGTTAAATGTTTTTTACCGTTTATTGTTAGATTGCCACTAGCTTCGTTTGTGTAAGTTTATTGGCAAAAAAGATTTGGTATATTTTACCTTGATCGTATTGGATGAAATGTTCAGCTTCTGTTGAATCTGTCGTGTATGTGTCAAGGACATCTGGGTGCAAAATGGCTGATCCGCGGAATAAACTAAAACACCCTGGACTACACAAAACACAACCAAGAACATGCTCAGTAGCTTTCTGTAACCAATGACTGATAGCATATTCAAATTTCTGGTACCATACCATAGGACCTGTTATTATGAAGATTTCAAACTTTAGTCACAGAACAAAACAACTAAATAATTCAAAGTTTGGTGACTATGTTGATCGCACCTATCCAATGAAACTTGGAAAAAAACGATATAACAGATACGGTTAATTCTGTCTCGTATGTTAACTTGCATTTAGACATTGACAATGGGGGTCAGTTGAAAAACAATACTTTACGACAAAAGAGATGATTTCAGATTCCCAATTGTGAACTTTCCATTTTTGTGTAGCAACATTCCAGCACCGCCTGCATATAGAGTATATATCTCTCAGTTGATGCGATATTCCAGAGCTTGCATTTCCTATCATAATTTCCTTAAAAGAGGGTTGCAGCTAACAAGGAAACCAGATGCTCAGTCTTTAGTTTTCCATGTTGTGTTTTGTTAACTGTTGTTTGTCATTTTGTAGTTTTTCGGTTTTTGCCATGACGCTGTCAGTTTATTTTCGACTTATGAGTTGGAATGCCCCTTTAGTATCTTACGCGTCTCTTCTTTAGTGTAACAATGACTATATAGGACATCGGTGTTTTAAAAGAAAAATTAAAAATTAGTAACATTAGCGAAAAAAAAAAAAGATTTAATTTTATAAGGTTGTTTTTCTTTCTTGAATTGTTCCACATTTTGTCATGTCTGGGGCTTTAATATCTCACTCCATCTACGGTATGAGGTTTGTTGATTGTTGAAGGCCATACGGCGAGATATAATAATTGTTCACTTCTTTGATTTTCGTTTTGTCTTTTGACTATGGATAGCTTTCTCATTGACAATCATAGATCATCTCATTATATTTATAACGATGAAAGATCATGATTTAAAAAAAAATGTCCTAGAAATTCAATACCTGAGCCAATAGGATGTATTCGACCACAGACTGCACCAACAAGAGGAGATTTATTCATTCGCTTCATTAAGCTTAGTACAGCTTCCGGTTCAAAATCCACATCCCCATCAAGAGCTAACAAATATGTGTTTTCTGCTGCCTCTTGTAGCCCGGCCTTTCCATACTGGTTAACTAGGGTCCATTTCAGAATATAGAACATGTACATAACCTTAAAAGGAGAAACATTTTTAAAAATGTTCCCGAAACTAGATATACATCTTTTTACTAATTTAGGAAAATAATTCTTCGACATAAAGTTTTTAGGAATTTCGACTGAAACAATCACTATACTTTCGTGTTCTGTTAAGCGTTTTTTTATGAATATTGTTTGTCTGATTATCTTAAATTCATTTGGGCATGGTGCTGTCTGCCTTTCGTCGAGCTTTTTTGTCCCACTCTTGGAATCCCCGCCCCCTTTTTTAAAGATTTATTTAAAGGAATTAAATTTGTTTGTACTATAAAATCAAACAAACAACTACACAGGGTATCTCATGTTTCTTATATAAACATAGATAGAATGAAAAGACTTCAAGGGAATTCTTGCTGTTTCTGAATCTAATGCATTCTGGGTAATATTTTGAAATGAGACATCAAATATGATTGGCTTACAACGTTCTAAACATTCTTTAATTTACTGTTTCTGAATCTAATGCATTCTGGGTAATATTTTAAAAAGAGAACATCAAACAGCTGTGATTAGCTAACAACGTCCTATACAACGGAATACAACTAATGGTTTATCGTTATTTTCTGTTAAATTCCGAAGAGGCGAAATATTGACATCAACAATCCAGCAGTAAATGTATAATTATATATATAACACTTTTCTAGGAGTTGTAGCAAACTCCGAAACAGTGGTAATGTCGTTTTTGCAAGTTTAAAAAAGCAACGTCACCCTGTGTCGGAGTTTGGAGTTGTACGTGATACTTACCTGACTCCATCGTTTCTTACGACGAATTTTATTTTTATCCTTCAGATGAACCACGAGCTTATTTCCTCCAGGGAGATCCCAGTAAATCCTAGCACCGTATGGTGTTCTGTACATTTGACCATCAGGAATTGTTATTCTCTTCCCATGGACAGCACTACAAAACGTTTTTTGTACGTTTGACTGACCCTGTAGAAACCTTATTACGAACGGGATGTCACATCTTTTATTTTACAGTGATGCTGTTTATAGAGCTCGTAATTTCAGATATGATAGATGTAAACTAGCTTATTGGTCCTTTGAAAAAACTTATCCTTTTAAAAGGTTGTCAGCTTAGCATTGTTTTAAGATCTTTGAATATTGCGTTACCATTACGAACGTAATTATTTTTAATACATTAATTGATCAATTAAATTGTATAGTTGCTATCCACGTATTTACTTTTGTGGTCCTAAATCCCGTCGATAAGAGTCTTGTATTTTGTCATTGCACAAAGTCGTGCTTTCTGCTTAAGATACGTCTTTACACTAAATCCGTTGGAGATGTACTAATTGACACTTTAGTCCGAGGAAACATGATAGTTTATCTTTTAGTTAAAATTGGACTATAAATCGCGACTTATCTTAGATCGGTAATTTGTATTTGTTGTCATTTTGTTAGGATTTTCTTAGATTCGCACCAATCTGACGAGTCCGACCCTTTCCAACTGATTTGTTTCAGTTTGTTTTTAAAGTTGTGCTGCTACGCCCCACATTTAGAGACTGTTCAGAATAAACAAATATGTTTAACACCCCATATTCTATAAGAGCCTGTACCAAGTCACGAGCCTGTAATTCAGTGGTTGCCGTTTTTGCTGTCTGGACATTTTGTTTATTTGCAGGTTTAGCATGAATCAGGTCGTTGGTTTTATCCTTTGAATTGCTTCACATGCTTTTATTAAAGATTGAAAGAAGCCAAAACTGTTTGTCTAAATCGTAGCCTTTTACTTTTTAAGATTTATACATTTTCGTACATCTTACTTTCAAATATTTTGTTTTGACCGTTCGTGATGAAGGAAAGTCAAAAAGTACTTCGGAAGCACCAAATGTATGTAGTGTTTTATTTTATTTACATCTTCTAGATTTTACAATTAAAAATGACCTATTGTCAGAATATTTATACCCTTCAAGATTACGTGATCTCATTCTTGCACCCATTACTTGTTAAAGGTGTCGCTGCAGCTTGTTTTGTTCTATATTTTGACATGATGAATTTCCGATAGACTGGGTCACCTCTGTCCACATAAAACGGGGTTATCACTGTCTTCATATTTTTCCGTTCAAGTTCATCATAAGTGGCAGAATTTTAGTCGTCTTAAAACTAACGTTATGGATCGTATAATCTGTCGAGCACTTGTATGAGATTCTGGATTGGGTTAACAGAATAGAGAATAATGGGGAAAATGAGCTGAATAAATGGCTAAATAAATAAAGAATAGAGAAAAATAGGGCCTTAAATAAAGAATAGAGAAAAACGAGGTGCTTAAATTTAAAAACAAAATAGAGCATGATGGATAAAAATATAAAAAAAAATACAGAAAAATGATCTAAAAAAATAATGAATACAGAAATAAAAGACCCCCCATTTAGACCCTTTTGTATTTTTAACGATATTTTTCCAGTCTCCTAGATGATCTATAGTATATATTGATTTACCTTCCTGCCTCGTTTATAACCTGTATAAAAGTTTTAACATAACCATTAACGTCTGGGCCAGGCTGGCCTTCTTTAGGTGGATCAAAAGCATCATCGAAAAAAACGTTACCTGCAAAATTTTAAATATTAATAAATCAAGGTTAATAACTTATGATAATTAAATTGCCTTATATTTGTATTTGTATGAACATAAAACAATGGCAACTTTTCAAGACAAAGTATCAAACTTAAACAAATGTAATAAGTTCTCAATGAACTATACTTTTAAAACAAGGGAGGATTATGCCACCACTATTTCCCGACTCCTGACTCATACGAAGCATTAGGATTGGACTGTATGTTCTGTCTACTGAAACCAAAACGTTTATCTATTTATCCCTCGTAGATATTAGGATCTTGTTGCTCAATCTTACAAAAAAAAGACATTCCTTGTCGGATAAATGCAGGTTGAAAACATTTTCTACAAATAAAAAGTGCGCGAAATGTACTAAAAACAGTCCAATAAAGAAAAGACGCTATATGAATATGTGCAATAATATCAATGCTTGAAAGTTTTAAATATTGTTTTAAAGATAATATTAATTTTTATAAGGCCACATTGAATTTATTACAAGGAGCTTGAATTTTTACCTATTGATGACCTTACATTGATGTCAGAATAGATTTGTGCTTATGTTCAGTGGCAAATATTACATACATATCTGGACGAGAACTTGCTAATGTAATACGAATTTGAACCCTGCTTTGAACTAGATTAAATCTGATTTCGTTTAACCTGTTGAAATTTTGGTGTTGATAATAAAGGTTGGTTGTTAATATATAGTTGTTCACTTCCAGTGGCAATAATTTTTTGGCATGCTAAGGACGAGAATAAATTAACAATTATTACAATGGGTAGGTACTGCTAGGTAGGGTTTGGCCGGGATGAAGGGCTGGAAATTTTGACTCCAACTGGAAAATAAGGGTATATCATAGTGACAGAAATTGTGCCTAGGCAATCTTTGATACTGGTTGGACAATTGTTAAGCATCTTTTCCTCTTAGACTACAAGGCGAAATATTTTGAAACTTTACAGGAAGAATGATTGGGAGTTCTTCTTTACCGCTTAATTTCGCCGTTTCAGAATCTAATGCATTCTGGGTAATATTTTCAAATGCGTACACCAAAACGTTGTGATTGGTTTAAAACGTACCAAAAATGGAAGTTCAACCAATGACGAAACGTTATACTTATTTTGGTGTACGAACGATGAGAATACCCATAGTCCTTTTGTGGTATATATAACAAGATGCTTGTTTGATAATGTTGCTATATTTTTGTTAGTCAAAGGAATCAACGTGAGCCATTCAGGTTCCTTGGAACCTCTAGTTTGGTGTTGGTGTGTTCTTAACATCTAACTCATACAATTTCCCATTTTTTTACCGACAAGAATCGTGTGTTGTGCATTGCCATGTTACCTTCGAAATCAAATGGTTCAACCTGATCATCATCTTTTGCCGATTCTGCTATCATTTCTGTCGTAAATTGTTTCATATCTAATCTGAAACAAATTTTGAAGAATTTAACTTTTATTCATACATATGCAATAAAAAAAACCGACGTTTCCACCATAAAAATGAATTGGAGAAATAAGTGTGTCTGAGCTTGGCTCGCAAGATGAGGGTTTGGATGGGGTTTCACAGAATAGAGAATAATGGGCAAAAGATATAAATTTCTCTGTTCAAACATTGGTTTACACTTTTTCAAACTCCTCTTAGGATTGCCAATTAATATTGATTAATGTTGATGAAAAATATATGACATTGAAAATGACTGTAGGGTGCATGATGAGAACTAATTTCACAGTCACAGTAAATACACAGCATGCAAATGGCTATATAGTCAATGAAATTTGACAAGAAATCTTTAAGTTTTTATTACCTAAATATTGATTTTAATAACTGTGTCATCTCGTTAGCGGTTTCGTGCCACATCGTGGCACAACAAGCATACAACATTTTTCTTTTCCTATTTTCGAATTTCTGAAGAAAAAAAGTTTGAATCATTACACCAATATTTCAATTTGGTCTAAATGTGTATTAAGCTGAGCAATCATGAATAAAATAACGACAAAACCAATATTTAGTATAGTATATTTATCTTAGGTCTTACGAATGGCCTTTTTGGAAATCATAATTGGCTTTGTCTGAAATGCGGTATTTATTTTTTGTGCCATCCTCACTTCTTTCAAACCAATTTGAAAATTTGTTCACGTGGATTTCTTGAAATTCACGTGAATTTAACCTGGAAGCACGATTAACATTAAAAAACGCGTGAATTTTCCATTAATGTTTTCAGTTGAGATTCACGTTAATTTCGCGTGAAAGTATCGTGGACAAAATAAGTATATACCCATTTTCATGCTCTTTATATACCTTAATTATAAGTCAATAACCCTGATAATAACGTGCTTTTACACTATTTTGTTGGAAGCCTCGCTGGCCGAGTAGTTCATTAAGTAGTCAACACTGAGGTTGTAAGTTGAAACCCCTCGTGGCAAAGTGGGTTCGACTCCGATCTTCATTGACTAGAATTGGTTCTCACCGGGTTCATCAAACAAACAAAAATTGGTCGCCGTTAAATAGCAAAGAGTGCTGAAAGTGGCGTTAAACACTAACAATCAACTTCGGACCCAGACCATTGATAAAGTGTCATTAAACACTAACAATCAACTTCGGACCTAGACCATTGATAAAGTGTCATTAAACACTAACAATCAACTTCAGACCCAGACCATTGATAAAGTTGCATTAAACACTAACAATCAACTTCGGACCCAGACCATTGATAAAGTGGCATTAAACACTAACAATCAACTTCGGACCTAGACCATTGATAAAGTGGCATTAAACACTAACAATCAACTTCGGACCCAGACCATTGATAAAGTGGCATTAAACACTAACAATCAACTTCGGACCCAGACCATTGATAAAGTGTTATTTTCATTTTGTTCGGTATCAGGTTCTGTTTGAACTCTTTATTTTCCCGCTATATTATATGTAAATTATAATGTTGTGAACTAACCTTTTTGTGAACAATGTCGTATTCTTTATCATATCTCCTACGATTCAACAACAAGGATATATCAATAAGCATTCCACAATAAAAGGGTTGGACGAATATCCTGAAAGAAAAAGAACTTGATGACACTTAAAAAAAAATTCCAACTGATTTTTACAGTCTTATGCAAGTTGCCATGGCGGTTTCAGGTTATCTCCGACTATTTGAAGTTTTGAATTTGCCCTTTGTATCTTCCGCCTCTTATGTGCTGTTTCACCACTGTCACATATTTTTGACCGATGGCAAACATGTTTTACCTATAAACTACATAAAATACATCGAAAGAAAATGGGAAATCGCAAAAATAAATTCACTGGTTGGCTAGAAAGCCGAATTGCTAAAGGCGAAATGAAAGTATCTGCGAAGTATGTTGGTTTACAGTGGAAGATAAAGATGGAATATCATTGATAAAGGAAAATCAAGTTTAAAATGTCACGATTGGTAAATGTCAAACTGCTTTGCGTAATTTGAAAATTGTCACAAATGAAACAGAGCATCTATGGGATTAAATCTATGTAAGTAAATCTTCACTTTTATTATTTACAAAGGTTATTTTTGTAGAAGTAAGACGGTACACTTGATACAAGACCCACTCTACCCACACCGAATGACCTTTTGATAAATCAAAACATAACTAAAAAAACTTATGGTTGTACATCCTGTCGATATTATTTACTTTTAGTTTGGCATTGTACAAGGTCATGCTTTAGGATAGGAGAGCGTTGAGAGCTCACAAACATGTATAAACCCACCACATTTTCTATATGTGCCTGCACCAAGGTGGGAATCTGTAATTCAGTGGTTGTTGTCGGTTGTTGTCCGTCATATTTTATTTTCGATTATTGTACTGCCATAAATCAGGCCGTTATTCATTTCGTGTGAATTGTTTCAATTTTCATCTTGTCGGTCCTTTTATATCGGACTATACGGCATGACTTTTTCTCATAGTTGGAAGGTCATACGGTGAACTATAGGTGTTTTAATTCATGTCATTTGTATAGCTGTAGCATTTGTAGTTAAACCACATTTCGTTACCTGATATTAACGAGATTGATATTATATGTTAAAGAAATATATTCTTTATTTGCCTGTAGTTGAGTGGTTGTCGTTTTTTCATGTCTGTCAATTTTTTTTTTTCGTAAATTGTTTTATTATAGATTAGGCCGTTAGTTTTCTCAATTGAATTGATTCATATTTTTCATGTCGGGGCCTTTTATAGCCATCTATACGGTATGGGGTTTTCTCATCGTTGAAGGCCGTTCGGTTGCCTATAATTGCTTTCATCCACTCCATTTGAACTCGGAGGATAGTTGTCTCATTGGTAATCATACCACATCTCCCTATTTTTATATATCCTTCGTCTCAGACAGCATCTATTTTATGCCATACAGACTGATGTAATGACGTTTTCATTAACATGTCTACCTTCTTAAATATTCAAATTTATCTCACCTTGCTGTTTCTCCATGCTTATAACCATTAACCTTCCAAACATGTTTGGTTATCAAAAGAATTGAAAAGTACAACAGGAAAAATGCAACAAAAAGTTCTGTACAATTTTCTATCAAGTTGCCATTTCCTTTCACGCACCAATCAGAAAAGAGTAGGTCACAAGATTCAAACTTCAAGATGTCCGGGGTATGCATTAATCCCACCAAAGTAAATGTTGTTGCAACGGGCAAAATCACCATTGGAATGCCAAATCCAAATCGCTGACAATAGATAGCGCAGACAGTTTTGGTAGCCTTATAGCATAGGTAGTCGCATATTATGGTTATAACAGCTATTAATAAGGGAACGTTGTATTGACAAATTGGATTGTCTCCCAATGTTTCCTCTCCGAAAAAGGAAAATATGGTCGCGTTGCCATTGTTAAAGAGTGATTTAAAAGCAGCCATTGGATCGTCAGATTTACTTGTGAATATTGTTATGACGGTAAGGAAAGTTATTGTTATCTTCCAGATATTTGCCAGGCAAGTAACTTTTGTTCGGCCAACATGTAATTCCCGTTTTAGATGTCTCAAGAAAACAGCATCTTCGTCTCCCATGGTGATAAAATTTTCCCAGTATTTAACAGATGTAAACAAAGCTGCAACTACAAATATCCCAGACAACCAACCTCTGTCTATGTACAACCCAATCAAAATTATTCCAATAATTTGGAAAACAATACCAAGGACCGGAAAAGAAAGAGAGAGCATCGAGGCATCGTTAAATGGTGAATATTTTGACACTTTTGTATTTTGGTGCAATCGCTTATCAACAACTATGTCAACTACATTAACAGTTGCCGGTACCAACGCGACCGCCATATAAATAACGGAAGCGGAAGCAGGATCAAAAGAAGGTAACACAAGAAATGCCAGGATGGAAACACCGATGGAGTGGACTGTTTCAATAAACATTGCCTACAAAGAGAATGATGCATTATATATATACACGTCGACGAACAGAAACTAAAATGATAAATTATATTCATACATCACAACATGAGAGTAGTATTTAAAAAAATGGATTAGATGTCCAAATAAAAATGTGACATACGTGACAGATCCTCCGGACCCTCTTTCAGATTAATTAACAACATAACAATTTATAGGTTGTCGCACGTTTATAATCTTAATAACTGTGTATTTATAGGTTAAGGATCGCAGATCATGAGCAATGCAAAAACATTAAGGTCTCTATCTCTGAATAGTTTTAGCATTTCACTTATATATCCTTTATGTCAAATAGTAAAGGGGAAGCCACAATCCACTCATAAGTAATTTGATATATCAAATTTATATTTTGTTATATCAAATTAATAAACTGATATTTCAAATTATCATAATTTGTTATATCAAATTGATAATCTTATATCAAATTAGTAATTTGTTATATCAAGTTGATAAATATAGATTCTTACATTGATACCAGTTGATTATCGGATTTATCCAATCGAGATAGTTAAATTATCAATTTTAAAGTCTGAGCCTTGGCGAGGACTTTAAAATTTATAATTTAACTATCGAGATTGGATAAATCCGATAATTTACGAGTAACTATGTAAGAATCGGTTTATCTAATGATTAAAAAATACATTTTCATTTTTTGTTAAACCAAAGCCCCCTTCGAGTGCCTTCAACATTTCACAAAGTTGTCAATTTTCATTAACACCTGTTAGCATATTTTGAGCTGCTAAAGGTTATGACCCTTAAATTCATCCAATCATCTTCTAAATCACCGGCAACCACACGTTGATTAAATTTTGTTATACAATGAGTGCAGAAAGGTATAAATTGTCAAAGAATTAGAGAATCTGTTATATCAAATTGATAATCTGTTATATCAAATTAATAATTTGTTATATCAAATTGGAAAAAGTCAAATAGCATGGCCCTAAAAGGCTTCCGTAGTTGGTCTTTTAAGTAAAGATACTTTTCTATTATTGATGACCGTATACAGAATAAGGGTCTGGATGAGGTGTTAAGAATACAGAATGATGGGTATAATGCTACTTTAAAAATATGACAATAAAAATTAAAAAATCAGAGATAGATAGGCCAAAAAAAAGAAGAATAATGATGAATAATGAGGTGCTAAAGTATAAAGAATAGAGACTAATTGGCAGATTTAGAAAGAATAGAGAAAAATGGCAAAAGAATTCAAATAGTGAAGAAATGAAGATCCCCATCCAGATCCTCCTATATTGACCTTACTAGATAATATAGAATGGATTACTGACTGACACATGTATTTTTTTCTCTTTTATAAATTATGACGTTTTTTTTTCAGACAAACCTAGACAGATTTGGTAAGTCTTTCAGTTGTTATCTTCGGATCACCTTAGTTCAATCCAGTTTTGGTGAGGTTAGTGCTTCTTATTTAATCATTCGTAGTGTGTTTTGTTTTTTCGTCAACTTGCTGTTGGTCATGGTGTTATCTTGCCTTTCTTCGACTATGTTTTTATCAACCCATTGGGATCTTTTTTAAGTTTGTAAAAGGTTTATTGTGTTAAAATGTATTGTACAAAACAAAATGCAAAGTTGGTTAAAACTTAATTATTGCATAATAAACTTACTGCAAAAAGCACTTTCCATTCCAATCGCTTATTCGTTTTAAAACAAATTCTGAAAAATGTTGACAAGAATGTAAGAAAGTAGGGGGCAACGATGACCAGGAAAACTGCCCATATCCATATCTCATCTACCGCAAAGTATAAATCTGACTGCGAACAGTCTGATCTATTGCAGGCCGAGCAGTTAGCCTCCAGCAATCCCCCAAGTCTATTGATGTTGGAATCATTCGACATGATCGGAGGACTTATGTGCCACATTAATATATGGAAGGTTACTCTGGCTATAAAACCACTACCGAGAACAATGATAAAGAGAGAAATAGCAAACGCAATTTTTAGTATTTTCTCTGGTGGAGGACATTTTGATTCATTCCATTGTAAATCTGCACCTTCAGCACTACAAGAAAAAAGAGAAACATAAAAATTAATAATAATAAAAATAGATAATAAGAAGAAGAACTAGAGGCTCGAAAGAGCCTGTGTCGCTCACCTTGGTCTATGTGCATATCAAACAAAGGACACTCTCCAACATTGTAGACGAGAATGAATTCATGACAAAAATCTCTATTTTGTTGATCTTGTATTACTAATCTTTTAGTCTGTTTAGTTTCTCTCTATCTTCTTTAGTTTTAGCTCAAACCACAAAAGAGGGTAAAAAAATCCTCATTAAAGGGCAATCACTCCTATGTAGAGTGACAGTCTACTAACTACAACGGCAACATTGGACTTTTTAATAGATCTTGCCTTGCTGATCATTTGTTTATTTATCTATTAAAAGCCTCGGTCACACCTTAACGGATAGCTCGAACGGATGCCGAACGGATAACTTTTTTTCAATCCGTTCATGTCCGTTAGACGTCCGTTCTCATCCGTCGACGTCCGTTCTGTCCGATGGAAAATTTCGAGCATGTTCAAAACTTTAAACGGACGTCCAACGGATGAAGTGTCCGTTGAACGCCCGGTAGGCGTCCGTTTTGTACGGTACTCGTCCATTTCGTTTCCGTTTTGTATCCGTTACTTGTACGTTATACATCCGTTAGAGGTCCGGTAGACAAATTCACCAACAGACTTCTACCGGACGTATAACGGATAAAACGGATGATGAACGGATGGGAAACGGATACGAACGGAAGGATAACGGATACCTACCGAATGTAAAACGGATAAATGCCAATTGAAAATTTCGCGTCACTCAGAAATGACAATTATTGATATGTCAGATTTCTTGAGTGTCATGAACGTCTATTACTCATGATGGATCTTGGAGTAAGAGCATGTCTTCACTATCAAACAGCTCTTATTCAGGTTCAACTGACCTTAAATGTTGCAAATATAAACCTACTAGTTGTCGAAAGGAGAAGAAGGAGAAAACAAAGGAGATGGTTGGCAAGATTATTGCTTAGTCCTGAAAAATATGTATTATTATTATCGCTTTTAATTTTCCGCTTAACTTGTTCATCCGTTTTATCCGATACACTTCCGTTAGGTGTCCGTTTTATGCGGTACTCGTCCGTTGGATGTACGTTCGACGTCCGTTCTGTCCGGTACGTTTCAGTTTCTCGTACGTTGCATATCCTGTGAGTGTCCGTTAAGCTGTAATCACACCTTACCGGATAGCTCGAACGGACGGCGAACGGATGAAAAAAAAAAGTTTTCCGTTGACAAAATTTGTATTCGTTGGGTGTCCGTTGGTAAACTGATCAAATAAAACGAACGTGTAACGAATGCCTAACGGACACTCACAGGATATGCAACGTACGAGAAACTGAAACGTACCGGACAGAACGGACGTCGAACGTACATCCAACGGACGAGTACCGCATAAAACGGACATCTAACGGAAGCGTACCGGATAAAACGGATGAACAAGATAAGCGGAAAATTAAAAGCGATAATAATAATACATATCTTTCAGGACTAAGCAATGATCTTGCCCACCATCTCCTTTATTTTCTCCTTCTTCTCCTTTCGACAACTAGTAGGTTTATATTTGCAACATTAGACGTTCATGACACTCAAGAAATCTGGCATATCAATAATTGTCACTTCTGAGTGTCGCGAAATTTTCAATTAGCATTTATCCGTTTTACATTCGGTAGGTATCCGTTATCCTTCCGTTCATGTCCGTTTCCCATCCGTTCATGTCCGTTTCCCATCCGTTCATCATCCGTTTTATCCGTTATACGTCAGGTAGAAGTCCGTTGGTGAATTTGTCTACCGGACCTCTAACGGATGTATAACGGACAAGTAACGGATACAAAACGGAAACGAAACGGACGAGTACCGTACAAAACTTACGCCTAATGGACGTTCAACGGAAACTTCATCCGTTGGACGTTCGTTCAAATTTTTTAACATGCTCAAAATTTTCCACCGGACAGAACGAACGTAGACGGATAAAACAGACGCTAAACGGACATGAGACGGATATAGACGGACGTCTAACGAATAAGAACGGACGTCTAACGGACATGAACGGATTAAAAAAAGGTATCCGTTCGGCATCCGTTCGAGCTATCCGTTAAGGTGTGATCGAGGCTATAGGCATTCGTTACCCGTTCGTTTTATTTGATCAGTATACGACACCCAACGAATACAAATTTTGTCAACGGAAAACTTTTTTTTTCATCCGTTCGGCGTCCGTTCGAGCTATACGGTAAGGTGTGATCACAGCTTTATAATTTAAATCATATAAGGCATGACTCGTCAACCAACCAACCAAAATGTTTATCTCTAAATAGCATAGTGTTCATAATAGGCAAAAATGAAAATAACTATAAATTCATTTATGGGCAATAACTCCTATAAGAATTTGTCTAACAGTTTTGACGTATATGGACAATTTGTAGAGCTCATTATAATAATTATTCTGAACGTTTTTGCTCCTTCAGATTTTCTCTATTTATAACGGTTCAAAAAATAATAGACAAAACTTGCATTTTACCCCTATGTTCTATTTTTAGCCATGTCGGCCATGTTGGTTGGTTGGCGAGTCATCGGACACAGTTTTTAAATTAGATACCCTAATGATGAATGTGGCCAAGTTTGGTTAAATTCGTCTCTGAAATTTCAGAGGAGAAGATTTTTGTAAAAGATTACAAAAATTTACAAAAAATGTTAAGGATTCACTATAAAGGGTAATAACTCCTTGAGGGGTCAATTGACCATTTTAGTCATATGGACTTATTTGTAGATCTTACTTTACTGAACATTATTGCTGTTTACAGTTTATCTCTATCTATAATGATATTCAAGACAATAACCAAACACTGTAAAATTTCCTTAAAATTACCAATTCAGGGGCAGCAACCCAACTACAAGTTGTCTGATTTGTCTGAAAAATTCAGGGCAGATATATCCTAACCTGATGAACATTTTTACCCGAAAGCAGATTTGCTCTAAATGCTTTAGTTCCAGAGATATAAGCCAAAATCTGCATTTTACCCCATATGTTCTATTTTTAGCCATGTTGGCCATGTTGGTTGGTAAGCAGTGTCATTGGACACATTTTTAAAATAAGATATCTTAGTGATGATTGTGGCCAAGTATGGTTAAATTTGTCTCAGTACTTTCAGAGGATAAGATTTTTGTAAAAGATTACAAAAATTTACAAAAAATTGTTAGAAATTGACTATAAAGGGCAATAACTCCTTAAGGGGTCAATTGACAATTTTGGTCGTATGGACTTATTTGTAGATCTTACTCTTCTGTAAATTATTGTTGTTTACAGTTTATCTCTATCTATAATAATATTGAAGATAATAACAAAAAACTGCAAAATTTTCTTAAAATTACAAAGTCAGGGGCAGCAACCCAACAACAGGTTGTCTGATTTGTCTTGACCTGATGAACAATTTTACCCAGTCAGATTTTCTCTTAATGCTTTGGGTTAAGAGATATAATAAGCGAAAATCTACATTTTACCCCTTTGTTCTATGTTTAGCCATGGCGCCCATCTTTGTTGGCTGGCCTGGTTATGGGACACATTTTTTAAACTACATACTCCAATGATGATTGTGGCCAAGTTTGATATAATTTGTTCAAGTAGTTTCAGAGGAGAAGATATTTGTAAAAGTTAACGACTACGGACGACGGACGCCAAGTGATGAGAAAAGCTCACTTGGCCTTTTAGGCCAGGTGAGCTAAAAATGTTAAAATGTAAAAAAAACTATGATTGATGATTGTTAACGTCCAGTGGCAAATAGTTCAAGCATATTCTAGACTACAATTGAACATTATATAACTTAAAGACTGTAGGCAATGTATATTTATTATAAATGACAAGGTTTCAAAACGAGGCTAGTTTGGTCTTTTTTGTTGTTTAAATGCAAGAAATTTAGAATCATACAGCATATACAAGACAAGAATTAAATTTTTTTTTTTACTATAACTAATAGTAACAACATTATAAATATACCATTAGCAGAGCCAATTTTTCAGCACTAAATGTCTCTTCAGTTTTTTTCGAGGCCAAAATATTTGAAAAACCTAAACTTATTTATAAAATGAAGAAATTTATATATGATCAATTTTTTTTTCCTTTCCTCGGGATTCGAACTCATGCTTCTGTGACATCGTGTCATATTGCTATAATAGTTTGCGAACAACTAAAAGTCGTTGTTTGATAGATTTATCGATTTTTTAAAAATTTTAAATTCAAGACTTCCATGATCATAAAATTTCTATTTTTTACATGGATATGTGTAAATAACTCACTACAACACTAACTATAGGATAATGAACAAGATTTCTATACATTTTTTCAGAGTCTATTATTAAGTACAACAACATTACATAATACAATCATACCACATCTTCTTTTTTATACATATAAGTTAAATACACTCTGTAAGCTGATTCAGGATGGTATACTACAATGTACAATGAGAAATATATGTTGTCTCATTTTTACTTACGATTTGTTGTCAATATTCGTTTTCAAAGTATGATGAACTGAATTTGATATCCTGCTAGTTTGTTGACTAAATCTCCGTCTATCCAACATCTTAAAGACCTCTACAGTGAAACGTCCTTGTTAACTTTAGAATAAATATTGATTTAAGTTAGAACAAAAACAACATGAATTTAGTGTATGAGGACCCCCCCCCCCCCCCCAAAAAAAAAAAACAAAACAAAACAAAACAAAACAAAACAAACTAAAATAACTAAAAACTAAAATTGAAAAAACTCCCCCTTTAAAAAAAAAAAAAAAACACACCAATCGATGTGCGCGACATAGGTTTTATGTCTGTTTGTTTTGTTCACACATTGTTGTCAAAACTTCATGCGACTGTCATACACGTGAGAGATTTAGCTAGCATTTTCTCTATAGGGAAATGCCTGTACCAAGTTAGGGATATGACAGTTGTTTTCCATTCGTTTAATGTGTTTGAGCTTTTGATTTTGGCATTTGATTATGGTCTTTCCGTTTTGAATTTTCCTTAGATTCGTCATTTTTGTTATTTTACTTTTTATTATCCTTCGAATGCACAGTTTTGGATTCTGTTTTTTCTTTAAACTTATGCAAAAGTACAACCGAAGAAACGAAAAAACAAATTTGTTATTCAAATAAAAATGAAAGGAGATGTTGTGCAAAAATGTATGTGAATGAGTCATCAATTCAACGACCAAAAAAGGCTAGAGTGCAACACACAGTCTTCTTCAACAATAGACATGTGTCTATACCATAAAACAAGCTCTTAATAAGCTATGGGTTTTGATCATTGTTGAAGGCTGTACGGTGACCTATAGTCGTTAACATTTGTCATTTGGTCTCTGGTGGTGAGTAGTCTCATTGGCAATTATACCAAATCTTCTCTTTTTTATATCTTAATAATTACATTAGATGTATGTTTCATTATAATACGTTATTCTGATTGGCTACACTGCAATCTCGCGTTATTTCTTAATCAACTTCATAACACAATAAAATTTATCATTCATGATGACACGAGGTCCCATTATAAACGAATATTTAGAATAAGGAAAAACATTAAGATATGACATGAAACAATCCCTGATGCGATTTTTGACTCGGGACAACCACATGAAAATGTAACGATATTAAACTATGATTTTTTTTATAGATCTCAACCCTCCCATCATTTTTCAGAAATCCAATTATGTCCTGATTAAACATGAAGAAAGATTAATATAGAGTTGACGTTAACCGTAAACCAACTTCTTATACAACACATGATCAACTTGTTTTTAAATTAACGAAAGCATGCAGTAATACAACTAGAACCAAATGCTAGAACTAAAGAATAAAATGCTAAATATCCATGAGTATATTTATATATCTGTTCAATTTGTGTTCAAAAGTCGAAGTAAGGAAACTGATATTCAAGAGTTTACCTGTCCTGTTTCTTTAGAGAGGTTAAGCGGCTTGCAAAAAAATCTATTGAACTACGGATTCCGAACGTAAAGTTTAGGTCAACCCTCATAAAAGTTTGATTAAAAGGTTAATGATTTGGTGTTCCATTATGATAAAAAAAACAAGATATCGAAATAATGCAATATATTTTTTTAGGGGGGATTTGGGGGGGGGGGGGGGGGGGGGGGGGGGGTTTGGGGGGGGGGGGGACGGGGACAGCTACGTCAGTATAGCAGTAACATTTCTATTTAAATTTAAAATGATATAGTACTTACTCTTTTTGTGAAAACAGCTTTTCCGACTTATATGTCTCGATTACAACTTTGTTGACAGATTTATAAAAGTTTTTCCAAACTCGTTTCCGAATCCCATATTTGACTGCTATGTCAAATTGTACTCTATTATTGTTTTACTTTTCAATAACAAATAGTTTAAATTAAACTAACTACTGTGTAACTAGGAAGTGTACTAATAATTAGACAGTATTCGCTTACAGTTAATCGCCAATTATTTCATTTGCATTGTTCTAAATCAGTAATGGTTGATAACTTTGCAGTCAGAACGATTTACGCTCTCATGAAATTTTTATGTTAGTGTGTTTCAATGATCTCGATTACATAATATCGGAATAATCGAATTTATTTTAGTCATTATTGGGGTGTTATTGAAAATTTTATGTATTCATTTTTTTTTAACAATTTAATGATATATTTATTGGTTAATAATGAATATATATTTCATTCGACCACAAGACACGTATATAAAAAAGGTGAAATGTAGTACGAAGTATTAAAACCCAAATGTTTTAAGGATTCGTCATCTAACAAAATATAAATTTAAAACTTTGGACAGAAAAAAATCTGCAGAATTCCAAAATCACCACAAGGTCATACTGTCATATCACATTTCCTTATTAAAATGCCGTTTCTGAGAGACGATGGAGCATCACGTTATATCAATATCCGTCCAAACCTCACAATATTGGTTTTTGTTCAAAACTTTGCATCATTCCTGACAAAATTATTAACCCTGTTCCCGTGAACTTATTTAAGTTTGAAAAATTGTTAGCACAAAATAACCGCATAACAAAGACAAGATTGCAAATGACACACACTCTACAAGATACAGGGATCAGAGGTCGAATTTTATAATTTTCCTTTTTGGTAGTTATTGCTCCTTAATGATGATGAAAATTTTTGAACGGACGGATTTGGAGTTTAACGTCCAGTAGCAAACGTTACATGCAAATAAGGGCAAGAACAAGCTGTTGATGTGATATTGATATAAAAATTAATCCTGCTGATGCAAAGTGTCAGATTTTGAACGACGTCCTTGTTCACAAGGTATCCGCCCGCAGTAGACCGCCATTTCACATTTCTAGGACTCTGAACCTGAATCAGTCTATGTTGATACTCATAAATATCACATACGCAAGGTAGAAGAAGCTGATTCAAAGTTCCAAATTTGTTTTAGTATGAACCGGATCGTTATTACTATACTTGACAATCTAAACGGTGAAATATATTACGGTAGATGGCTTTTATTCATTCTTGTTAGATTTTCAAGAAATAAAGTTTTGGGAAAACTTCTTTTTAGCCTTATCTCCTGATTTTCAAATATAAAATGTAAATGTGTAGTCGTCTTCATTTTCCCATTAAGAGTAATATTATATTTCTGATTATCCGAAAGTACGTGACGTGTATCTTAAAGTTTTATTTAAAATTTTTAAATCATTGAAGAGATAAGAGTCTTTTCAAGCAGTTTCATGTATGACCATTTGCTTTTCTTTTTGTATTACCAAATACCTACGCTTTTATTTAGTTTGTATCCTTTTTGGTACCATCTGCCTCTGTTCATGTTTCTTAGACATGTGCATTAGTTGTGAAGATGTCTTGATTACTTGTTGTTTGCTTTATATCAAGTGCCAGATATTTCATACGCATAAAGTTAAATAAGTAGAAATAGTTATCAAAGGTACCAGGATTATAATTTAATACGCCAGACGCGCGTAGAAACTAATGTATCAGATGTTCACGAAAAGTCATTGGGTTAACAAGCTTTCACAGCGGGAAATTTGAACTAGCAGTGAGTGGTAAGTGTTGACTTGTTTTTACGAGGCACATATTTCGCTAAGTAATTGGCTAACTACGGATAACACTTGGAAGAGGTAACACGAGTACTTGTTCGACCTGTAGGGTTCGTCAAAGGAGTTTACAGATCGGCACCTGTTACAAAATTGTTGAACTTTCGCAAATATAAAAAAAAAGGAAAATCTTATTGCAAACCACTTCCTTTACAAGGTATGCCAACGTTTGATACTGTCGAAACATCATGACTGTTGTTAAGAAGCTTGCCACTTTATTTTGTAAATTACCATACCCTTATCATTAACTTGCTATATTTAAATATTTCTTACTTTTAATGAAATTAGATTAATCATGTGGTCTTTGCAGGAAAGAAATCACTTCATGTGTACTCATATTAGGCTAATATTTAAAGTTATAGGCTTGAAGCAGAGATTTACAATATATGCATGTACATCTGGCATGCAGAATGTTGAAAGCAAGTGAAGAATTTAATTTATGCCATATCTATAATGATTTATGCATACTTTCACTCCACACTGTAACTAAACTTACTATAACCTTTACTATACAATAGTTTAGATACAACACATGAGATTTACAACTACTACATAAATCGGATGAGTTCAGCATGGTAAACACATGACTTTCACATGTACTTTGCTTTCATGCATAAAGCATGCGTTTACAATATATGCGATACACGCATGTGAAGATCATGCGTTTTACGCATACTTCAGATAACGCATAATTTTCGCACGATTCAAACATGATTGACGCATGTAATAGCTTTCATGCGTAAATCATGCGTTAAAAAAAATATGCGATACACGCATGTGAAATAAGTGCGAAAACCGCACGTGAAGATCATTCGATTTACGCATACTTCATATTTCGCATGATTTACGCATGATTCACGCATGACTTTCGCATGTAATGGCCTTCGTGCGTATATCATGCGTGACACTTTTGTAACAAAATGGTTTTCAAGTTTCAGATAAATAAATGGCTATTGATTTTCCTTTTAGTTGGGTTGAACGTTTTACTTTTTGACTCTCTACACTATACTTCCGTACAATCGTATCAAACGCAAGGATTCTTTTCACAAATGTTATTAGATGGTCGTTTGAGAAATCTCAGTGTAAATCTGTGTTAACAACACATTTAAACATAACTTAATTGTTACCTATTCTGACATCGGACTCGGACTTCTTTTGAACTGAGTTTTACTGTGCGTATTGTTGTGTGTTTGTTTTTTTCTACATTTGTGCCTTACGCATTGCAAATTATCATATTTTTTCGAGTGTTTTTGACATCCTTAAACCAGACCCATTAAATATGTACTGATTGATATTAGATACATGAGTTTTTTTATTAGTTGTAATGTGCTCTGAACTAGCTTTCATTAACTCTCAAGTGGATACGATTTATTAAGTCTTTTCGTTATGTGTGTTTTGTGTAATATATGTCGAGCTGGTGATTCATGCCTTTTGCAACTGCTTTTTGTCTCGCCTTGACGGAGTCAAAAAGAGAGACATATGTATGCTGTTTACGGCGTCGGCGACGGCGTCGTGAACAATTCATTAGTTTGTGATTAGGTCTAGTTTATGATGAAACACAAGTGTTAGGTCAATGATAGTTGGTATGCAAGAGGGACGAAAGATACCAGAGGGACAGTCAAACTCATGCAGTTGTATAAGCATTGTCACATCTCATTTCTATGGAGATTATTTGGCCCTGCCCCCTCAGTCATGGTCTATTGACTTTGAAACTTTTGTTTAGTTTACATGTATTAGTTTGTGATTAATTAGTTTATGGGGAACCACTAGTGGTAAGTCAATGATATTTAATATGCAGTTGTATAATCATTGGCGTATCTCATTTCCATGGAGATTACTTATCTCTGCCCCCTTAGTCATAGTCTTTTGACTTTGAAAATTTTGCTTAGTTTACATGCATTAGTTTGTGATTAGGTCAGTTCAAGGGGAACCATCAGTGATAGTCCAATGATATTTGGTATGCAGTTGTATACGCATTGGCATATCTCATTTTCATGGCGAATATATGGCCCTGCCCCCTCAGACATAGTCTTTTGACTTTGAAACTTTTGCTTAGGTTTTGATTAAATCAGTAAGATGAACTGCTATAATGTTAAGTTAATGATATTTGGTATGCAAATTGAAAGTATCGTTTCTATGGAGATTATATTGCCCCACCCCGCATCATGTTTCATTGACTGAAACTTTTACATAGTTTACGATTTAATGTTTGTGTTTAGGTATGTTTAAAGGGAACGACCTATGATATTAGTCAATGGTATTTGGTATGCAGTTGTATTGGCATTGGCATCTCTCATTTCTGTAGAGTTTTTGTAGCCAAGTACCTTCAGTCATGGTTCATCGACTTTTAATATTTGCAAAACTTACATGTTAAAGTGAATTGTAAGAATTATAGTCATCGATGGGACCCAAGGGTCCGGCCCCCCTATTCTGGGAAAAAATTAGTTGATTAAATAGGGAATCACTAGAGCACGACAAAATCGGGCCCCTTCTTAGGCATTCAGTGGGCCATACTTATGAAAATTTCTGGATCCACCACTGCTGTCATCATTTAGCCCAAAGGGTGCGAAATGGTTTTTATCGTGGGTACGAAATGGTAAATGTTGGGTACGAAATGGTAATTTTGGATACGAAATTGCAGAAGTACGAAATGGCCAAGGTACGAAATGACTTGCCATCGTTAAAGTATTGCTATTTAAATTGCATTATCAAAATTACAAAAAGGCGAGACATATCTCTGTGATAACAGTTTATTTTTTTCTTATATTGCTTTGTTACACCATTATTTAAGTTTATGATTAGGGTTGAATAAATGCGAATATGCTTAACTCGTTATATTCTGTATGTGCCTATTCTTATTCAAGAGCCTGCAATCCAGTGGTTGTAGCTTGTTTCTGCATATCATTTCATATGTTCCTCTATTGTTTTGTACACAAATTTTACTGTTAATATAAAAATAGAAGATGTGGTATGATTGCCAATGAGACGACTCTCCACAAGAGACCACAATGGTACAGAAATTAACAACTATAGGTCACCGAACGGCATTCAACAATGAGCAAAGCCCATACCGCAAAGTCAGCTATAAAAGGCCCCGAAACGACAAATGTAAAACAATTCAAACGAGAAAACTAACGGCCTAATTTATGTACAAAAAAATAAAAAAAATATGTAACACATCAACAAACGACAACCACTGAATTACACTGACTTTTGACAGTCACATACATACAGAACATCGCGGGGATAAACATTTTAGCGGGATCCTCCCTAAACCTGTGACAGTGGTGTAACAGTACAACATAAATTCAATTTTTTCTTATGAATTGCTTTACATTTGTCATGTCCGGGTCCTTTGTGAATTGCTATACAGTTTCGGGTTTCCTCATTATGAAGTGCTGTCGAGTGAGCTATATGAACTTACTATATTCATTTTTTCTCAGTGGATAGTTATCTCGTTAGCAACCACATCAATATTATTTTAATGATAATAAAGATAAAAAGATAGCTCGTGAAATATTTATCATTGTTATCAGTATTATACATCTATATCATAAATTAATATTTGTTAACATTTTCATCAGTTATTTACATTTACAATATAGATAAGGTAGATTACTTATTAAAAATAGTAAAGTTTGTTATTTAAAAAAACGCATCTGTTGGTACAAAGAACAGGAACAACGTGTACATATTTATTGGATGCACGAAGCTGATAATTTACTTATCTTGAGTTGTTTACATACAAATTGATAGCATATACCGGAATCGAATAATTCATTTTTCAGCCTATAAACTATCGACAATTGTATGAATGTAATACCTACTGTAAATATTCAAGAAATTAATTCTGATAACTTTTCTATGAATCTGATTAGTTATAAAAAGTAAGACGAAAGGAACAGTAAGGCACTTCAGTAAAAGTTCTAACTATAAAAACAAACACACACAGTGCAAAAATAGAATAATTATTATACTTCATTTATACTACAATTAAGATATAAAAATGTATGTTTTTAAACGTTGCAACATTCTTTTATTAGTGTTTCTTCTTCGTCGGAAGAAGATACTGATAATGATGATGCTGCTGCTGCTGATGATGATGATGAAGATGATAATGATGAAGAATCTGAACTAATATTCGGTACTTCATTGTTTCCGCTAGGTTCAGACGTTTCGTTCTCGCTATGCTCTGAGACACAGTTATCGTTTTGTAGTTGAGCTTCAATGTTCATAAATCTTGAAGTTCGCCCTTCAATTTTATGTTTACTGTAATTTGTCCATTTATCCAAAATATTTTGTCCTAACTGTTTTCTTAAACGCGTTATTTCCTTCAATGGTGCCTCCTCCCAATTTGCCGTTACAAGGTCCTGCAGATTCGTCTTCTTAACTTGAGCATTCGCTGATAACGGCAAAACAGGAACCTTTGCTGGTGAAATCAAAAAATCAACAAGTCTTAAGGTAGTTTCACCTGTATGAGTGACATCGCTCTCCAAGATTTCGGTTGTAGCACATATACGAATTAACGTTTCATATCTTTGATACAGCATACAAAGAAACTGAACCACCCACCGAATGCCAAATACTGCCATTAAAAGTATTGCAAGTGGAACCAGTTGAATTTTATCCCCTAAGCATTTGAAATTTATAGTCAAGGAATCTTCGAAATCGTTTACTTGAGTTAATCCAAACATCACTATAATAAGAAAAGCGTTTAGTAGATAGACAAAAAGACATACTCTGTTTCTTAAATCAATCAAATCTTGTTTTATATATGATGTATATATAGGATCTTCATACAAAGGTTTAAGATACATCTTAATATACTTTTTCCAAAATTTTCGTTCTTTCTTTGAAATTAGTGCAACAGATTTGTCTGCTTTCACCTGCCACTCTTCATTTCTGCTTTTGTCTTTGATAGTTTGTAGTTCCCTTTTAAGGTCGGACCGTCTGACTTGTGTTTCTTTGTCAACTAAACAATAAATAAAGTATTATGAAAATTCATAGTTCAAACAATACATGTTAAGCATAATGAGCACCATATTTCGATCTGTTTCATGACGTCTAGAGTATGAATAACGATACAAACGAACATATTTTGTAACTGACGGTGAACATCTTTAGCTTTAAGGAGTATTTTCATTCTAAAAAATTGATTATGTATATTTTACGGAGTTCCTTTAAGTGTAAAATTCGATATTTCGGTACCAAACTTAAAATCGAATGTCTTTAGTGATTAAATTGACGGAGTTGGAATATCAATAAACTATAGTTACTAATTTCAAAGATAAATAACTCTCATTGCATGGTACATTGGTATTTTAAAAATATAATCAAATGCTGCATTTTCAAAGATCAAGCTTTCGTTACAACACGCATTTAATCCAATACGAGTAAGGGGCAAAAGTCGTTAATTGACGAACTGTAATCTGATTAGAATGCAATTCATCTGTTTCCACTTTGACACATCTCTGTTCTGATTATAATTACGTGAGCCAATTTCCATCTGTAACATTGTGAAGGTGTGTGGAAATATAAGGTGCTTTTGTAGGGTAAACAGATTCTATTCCGTATGTGGTACCCGTTATGGTGCTCATGGTAAGTAAACATTCGATGATAAGTCTCATTCGATGAAAAATTGCGGTATTGTGGCTACTACGACCATTCAACATATATTTCGTCATCTGTACCACATAATTTCTAAAACGATCAATATGGTCTACGTAAAACATTTAAAGGGATACCTTCAACGCTACTATTAGATAACCTTGGTTTGATTGTTTCCCTATAAGCAACAACTCTCTATCAAGATTATACTGATACGAAAAACAAGTTCTTTATCATTTTATTAATGGAAAGAAATGTACTCAATATGCATGCACTGCTGGAAGAATGCTACATAGAATTAGAACGTTCACAATTGGACCCTGAAATTTTCCCTTTGTCTCAATCGACTCTCAATGTAAATTTCTAGATGTAAGCCAAGTAATGGGCAGGGAAGGTAGAGTGTCGTGCTAGGATCGTGGTTTTTAGAGTGAATTGATCGTTTTTTTTTAGTGTGACCACTGTTTTTTTCCCGAGTGAATATGATTAAAAATGTAAACAAACAGACTTCCTTTCTGACAAGATGTAATATTGAAGCTTGAGTTTAAAATACAAGGCATGTAAGTATTTCAGATAAAAAGATATCATCAATCAGACATTATTTTTCGTTAAAAAAAGTTGAATTTAGCCCTTACAAGGCTTTTATTCAAAAATACGGAATAAAACCATTTTTATACACATACCAATGCAAATGTAGAAGGAAATGCATACATGGACTCTTTACAAAAAGTCTTGTTTTTGCATTGAAAACGAAACTTTGAGACTAAATTTTTTCTATATGTCTGGTTTTTGTCGAGTTCGTCCGTGTTTATCGAGTGATTATACAAATTTCCTTTAGCTTAAAATGTTATGTGTCAGTGTATTTACGCTTAAAATAATAAAACAGGTTAAAAAATAAGTACATTTCAAAGCTCGAAACCAATGTATTCATCAGTTTGATAATGGTGTGACAACACTTACATTTAAAGTATTGTTCATTTGTATATATTGTTGTTAGTCACATCTTATAAATTGCACGGTCACATAGGCACTTGTTAAAATTGTGGTGTATAGGATTTTTTTCCCTGTGCGTGTACAGTATATATTTGTGAGGGGACAGGCCTCTTTTGATTGACTATTTTTTATTACATAGCATTTTTCTGATTCTTCACACTGCAGTCCGGTAGGTTTTTACGCCTTTTTTTAAAAACTCCGGGGTTCACCACAAGAAATATTATTAACTGTAAAATCAAAATAAAATGAAATGCTGTTGAAAAGATTATGAGTCCTCTGCACTATGTTCTAAGTACATTGTAGTTATAAAAGGTACCAAGATTATAATTTAATACGCCAGACGCGCGTTTTGTCTACATAAGACTCATCAGTGACGCTCAGATCAAGATAGTTATAAAGCCAAAACAAGTACAAAGTTGAAGAGCATTGAACCAAAATTCCAAAAAGTTGTGCCACATACGGGTAAAGTAATCTATTCCTGGGATAAGAAAATCCTTAGTTTTTTGAAAAATTCAAAGTTTTGTAACAGGAAATTTATAAAAAATGACCATATAATTGATAATCATGTCAACACCGAAGTGCTGACTACAGGGCTGGTGATACCCTCGGGGACGAAACGTCCACCAGCAGTGGCATCAACCCAGTGGTGTAAATAGTTATCAAAGGTACCAAGATTATAATTTAATACGCCAGACGCGCGTTTTGTCTACATAAGACTCATCAGTGACGCTCAGATCAAAATAGTTATAAAGCCAAAACAAGTACAAAGTTGAAGAGCATTGAACCAAAATTCCAAAAAGTTGTGCCAAATACGGCTAAGGAAATCTATTCCAGGGATAAGAAAATACTTAGTTTTTCGAAAAATTCAAAGTTTTGTAACAGGAAATTTATAAAAAATGACCATATAATTGATTTTCATGTCAACACCTAAGGACCGTTTTATGAAGGATCCAGTTGATTCTAATTTAACACTGGAAAGTTGTAGTAGAATGTTTTCCGAACAGAACATTTGCATTAAATTGAAAAACGTTCATTTTGATCAACGTAGTAATATGTTTTTGTGATTTATTGGGAATATATAATATAATCCTTCACTTAATTACAGTTATAAGTAGAAAAAAATCATTTCAAAAATCTTATTCAAATTTTTTTTAAAAAAACCGGAGCATTTGTTAAAAAACCCGGACGACTCACTGTTGCTCTCGAAAAAACCCGGACAATATTCAACACTGATTTTTTGGGTTAAAACAAGAAAATTGTGTTTCTTTGTTGCCCAAAATATGTATCGTATTCAAAATAAGATGGCTAGTAATGTAAAAAAAAAACCTTTTTATTACGACATTGCAGTTAATTGACCTTATCGCATGTTTTATCACTCGAAAAAGGTGGACCGATTCTCTAAAAAAAACCATGATCCTAGACGGACACTTTACCTTCCGTGATAGAGCATTTTTGACTATCTTTGATTTATCTCATTTTAGCTTCGTGTTGATAGATACGTTGAATTAAGTTACAAAACTTTTAAATATTAAGTGAAATGAATCCATTTCTATATCGAACCTTGAAGTTATACGATAATGCCAGCTTCTTCCATTCTTCCTCTGAATATCTTGAATTTAATCTATCCCGTATGAATAAAGTACAATTAAACAAGGAGAGGAGTACAGTTCTATGAAGGGCCTTTTGGGTCATAATTCATTTTGTTACACGTATGCTAGAGGTTCGGTATTTTGTGTCTTTTTTAACGTATTACTAAATTTAAAACTGAAAAGCTGAGGTTTTTTTTTTTATAGTTCTATCGCTAAATTGGAAAATCAGCCTTATCCTCGCGTTATTTAATGCCTAACTAGTTGTTTTCATATATAGTTAATAAAGAAAGGAGGTCTCAGATACATATTGTGGTCTCCACACTTAAAGAAACCTTTAAGAGAAGTAAAACCTTCATATGGCTTCCCAAATTTCAGGAATAAGTGGAGGATCAACATACTGCTTTTTATGTGATAAAGTATTCATTATACAATTGCACAGTTTTTAATTCTAAAAACGCATAATTATATGCGAAATTCGTTTCTTTCAACATTTCGAAATTCTGTACTTTCAATAGTACCTGTTCAGTGAGTACTTTTAAGGTACTTTGTATTCATAATTAGATATATTTTCGATAAGTTACCCGATTCTAAAATGTCATTTGACAAAGATAAACAGTTAACTAGAAATAAAGTAATTTTAGAGGGTAATATTTCTATTGTAATTTTCAATTGGTCAAAAACCATACAGGTGGGTAATAGAATTTTGAAGATACCGTTAGTTGAAAATATTAGATCTGCATTATGTCCATTGAGAGCGTATAGGAATATGTGTAAAATAATTCCTGACGAAGGAGATAGCCCGGCTTTTCTATTTCCTAGTAAACACAAGTTAGTTCCTGTGACCTATATAGATTTTCAGCAGTATATTAAGGAGTTTATTATTAAGATAGGTAGGAATCCACGACTATTTTCTACACACAGCTTTCGTCGAGGGGGTGCTACGTTTGCCTTTGAATCTAAGGTGCCTGCGGAGTTAATACAAGTTCATAGCGATTGGGCAAGTGATGCTTATAAATTGTATATTCAATTTTCTTTATCAGAGAAAGTCTCCGTTGCTAAGGCCATGACTAAATTTATCCCTTAATTGCTGTAATGAAGAAGAGGGTGTTGATCTTGCGTGATTCTATCGGGAAATATTTAGATGGGATAAAAGACACTGTAGTACAGAGTTTTAGTGGAGCTAATTTAGGTTACATTAAATATATTATTGATAAGGAGTATTTGTATCTACATGATTTTGATAGCTTTTCTCATGTTATTTTACATTTTGGTACCAATGATGTAGAGAATCATACTCCAGAGATTATTTTATGTAAATTTAGAAATTTAGTCTATAGTATAAGAAATAGAAATAGAGACATACATATATTGATATATTCTATTTTACCGCGACCAGTTGATTTTGTTCAGTTAGGAAGTAAGGTTGTTGAGATTAATAAAGCCTTAATTGGTATTTGTAAAGATGAGAAAATAAGTTTCATTAAGTCTTATAGAAGATTTTTGTTAAAGGGTTCTCCTAAAAGAGATTTATTTGCTATTAAAGATGGAGGTTTGCATTTAAATGAAGCTGGAGTTTTTCAGCTTAAAATGTGTTTTATTCATGTCATTTCGCATTTGTAAATTGCATATGTTTAATTATATAGTTGTAGTTTGTTTACTTTTTCCTTGTTTATATTTTGTAGATAACCATTCAAGTAGGTGGCTTACAATGAAGTTCTTTATTCATTGAGTCAGAAGATTAACAAAGAAGTAGCATATTCTTTGGATCTTCAGTAGGAGATTTACA